TTTTTAATTTATTTACCAAAAATATCAACAACCAATTCTAATATTGCTATTATTAGAATTGTAATGCAATAATGAAAACACAATATTATTATAACTCAAGAAAAAATAATGTTGCATTAATTTTTCATTAGAATATCAATATTTTCAATCTACTTCTCTCGTTGTACATTAAATCTTTCGAGACAAATTTACCACATTCGGTTTTTATTGGCAAATGAATAGAGTATATGTAACATACTAACTAAATTTTCCTTTTTTATATTATCGTTATTATTTAATTTAACCAAGACAATAATATTTTGGGCTATTTATTCCCCATCTCAGCCCATTTATTGCATGTTCTAGCTGTTTCGACCGATAAATCGCTGCAAAGGGCGCTAAAGAGGAACCTTTCGCCGTTCCGGTCGATTTTCGCATTTCTAATTCATTGGCCGCTATTAGTCGGAATGTTGCCATTGTAGCCTCCGTTACAGTTCTGCTAATCCCGATCCGACCACTATACCGGCATTCCAGCGAACCATAAGGAGAAGATTAAAAAAAAACACAAGATTGAATTTTTTTTAGGGACCATATATATATGTTCTTTGTTATACCGAAATGTCACAATTGCAAGGAATTTTAAAGCTTTTTAAGGACCTTTTTTCTCAGTGTTTCCACTTCGAATCTAATAAAGCTTTTGAAATGAAGTGACAATGACGGATGCTAACATCAGGATTTATTGCAAGATTTTATGTGTAATTTTGAATTGCTAAAAATGTTCTCGCATTACTTAGGGTATAATAATTTGGATGTGATAATTTAAAGGATAAATTTCAGGATAATTACAGTTTGGTCCCCCAAGTTTGCACGTTTTTCACTTTTGGTTCCCCATTTACCGCCGTCAACAAAATACACACTAATGTTGTCACATTTTAACACATTTAGCCCCTCCGTCAGTTTGACCGTCAAGAAGTAACGGTCAACTGTTGAATTAGGGCTGAATTTGGGATTTTTCATAGAGAAAATTGCACTCTGACCCCTGCATTCTTCTAAAATATTCTAAAATACTCTAAAATTTTATTCGGCCCTAATTTAACCCCATTTTTATCATTTAATCAATTTTGACAAACGACCCCGATTTTTACCACCATTTCCGCCGACCGTTGACCGCCGTTGTTTTTTTTTTTAATATTGTTTTTTACGTCGTTCACCGACATATTCTCGGTTAACAATGTTGACTTTTTTATTTTTCTTGATTTTTTTCGAACTTTTTCCGATCAACACAATCAATGTATAACACAATAATAATACTATATTAATATCTAGTATCGTAATATTAAAATTACAAACTTCTAACAAAGTTTTTATCTAAAATTCTAGGGCCTAAATACAATTTTAAAAAATTCTAAAATCCATAATTTCTTCCCTTCAATTTTTTCTTCGTGGAACCGCCAGTGCATCCCAAATTTCTTCCCAAAAAAATATGAAGAAGATGAATTAGGCATGTGCGGGGTAATTAGGAATGAGATAACCACTCTAGTACAATGGTTTTTGGGGCAAACACCGGCCGTTAATTTTTATCTTTTTTTTTCTTTGTATTAAAATTTTGCGTCATTGAGATGCGTTGACCTTTTCCTTTTTTCTTTATTTTGACTTTTTTTATGATATTATTTTCTCGCCGATTATCAGCTTTGAATTCTTTTAAATTATATTTTTCCATTACTCAACAATTTAATAAACATAAAATAAAAATCAAGAAAAAAATGTCAACGCTGTTAACCCGACATTCAACATCGGTCAACAGTGACAAAAAAATATCAATCGAAAAAAGAGTCAACCGAGTTAAAAAGAAAGTCAATGTCGGATTACCAAATTTTTAAAAATCGGGGTCAGTGGTTGAAATATGTTAATTGATGAAATTGGGGTTAAATTATGGTTGGATAAAATTTTAGAGGTTTTTATAATATTTTGAAAGAATACAGGGGTCTTATTGCAATTCTCAAAGAAAAACCCCAAATTCAACCATTGACCGTTACTACTTAACGGTCAAACAGACGGAGGGACTAAATGTGGTAAAATGCGACAACATTAGTGTGTATTTTGTTGACAGCGGTAAATGGGGGACCAAAAATGAAAAACGTGCAAACTTGGGGGACCAAAACTGTAATTATACCGATAAATTTCATATACATAATAACAAATTCATTGAGTTTGTTTGGATCGGGTTCGTCATTTCACTAATGTAAAATGTATAAATAGTTAATAAATTTATTAATATTCGGCAAATCTCGGAAATATTTGGAAATATATATATAGGAAATTCCGGGACCGTTTTCAGATCGAAATTTGGAAAAAAAAATCAAAACTTTATATGCATTTCCGCTTCCGATCTGGTTTTGTTCGGAAATTTCGAAAATCGGAATAGAAAAACCAGTTCCAAAACCGGAATTACTCGGATTGGAATCGAAGGAAATCGAAATTCATTTCTGATTCCCACCCCTAATTAGGTTTCCCTCGTCACACTTGGTCCATGGAAAAACTCCGTGACACACATCGACTTATGAACTGAGTGAACTACCAATAATCCTTAAAAACTAGCGTACTTATTAATGGCGAATTTCATGTCGATTGTAGCCAATTTCATGTACCCCATCAATGGTGAATCCAAAATTTTCACCAATGATGTTCAAAATATAATATAATAAATAATAGAAACAACAAACACAAAAACGTACACTAAAAAAAATAGTGAACTTCGTTAAAATATAAACATGAAATATAAATCTTAAAAAAGAAAAGTAAGTTTGAATCACTATTTAAACAAATAACATATTTAAAAAATTTAAACATAATGTATTAGAAAAGGCTTCCGATTGACACTTCCTGAAAAAATCCGGAGAAAATATCAACTGCCAATTCTTTTCGCAAAGGGAATGCTCAACAATTACATAGGTAAATAAATTTCTTACCACATACAATAGGCTTAATTGCATGGAGTCCAATTGCATATGACAAGTGAATTTGTAAGTAAGAGTTCAGAACTAATTTATACAACACTTCGTTTTCCATCTCAGAACAGTCCATTTTTTATCGTCAGCAACAATATCTATCATCCTCAATATATATATTTGCTTTCAACATCTTTCCATTTATCTAGATTTGATCATGCCTTCAATACAAGTCAAAGCATCCCTGGTATCAACAAAGTCCACAATAGCTTTGTATTTACTATCGACAATCTCCAGCCAGTTGACCGTACCATAGCATCTACATCTAAGTTGAAACATATTGATTATAGAACACTATTCTGACATTCATCTCCGACTTCGCCTTTGTTTTGAGCCTAAGGGGTTCTGGTCTAGTATATGCAAACCGGTCATTATTTCCCTAATGAAAAGCGGTTTAAGCCTTTGCTTCCCTAATGAAAGTAACAAAAGTGTTTGGTTCTAGACATCATTAACAGTAAATGTTCGATAACCCACGAACACCGAAATCTTTTGCAATCTCATCGATTCTAGTATTTGTCGACAACCCGTAAAATACACCAACGTATCTTGCAGGTACCATTATGTGAGAACTGGGTCCCAGTTAAAGTAATTGGATTCTCACCAAATCTTCATAAGCTTCATTCGATATCAAATCAGAACACCTGTCCATAACGTGTAAGACTCACACCATGTTCTAGTATTTATATTTATATATCATCCATTCCTTATAAAAAAAATTCTTTCAGTTTTATCAGGTCAATTTACTTGTATTTATACTATTTCACGTTTAATGGATAATTGAGTGATTTAATCATACAATGGCAAGTGACTCTCTAGACCATTCCATAAAAGTTCTAGGTACATTGTATAAAGTAATTAACTACATGAGATGTTCTACGAAGTTTCCATAAATCTCCCAAACCGTTTTCTTTTAGCTCAAGAGGGGATGGATATTTTTTAATTAATTTAAATACTAAAAATATCAAAAATCAATTCTAATATTGCTATTATTAGAATTATTGTGCAATAGTAAAAACAAAATGTTATTATTACTCACGAATACTACATTAATTTCATGAGTATATCACTCACTACTTTTGATGTATTCCACTCGTTGTAGATTACATCTTCCGATAGAAATTTACCACTTCGGTTTTTCTTCCCAAATGAACAGATTATATATAACACACTAAGTAAATTTCTATTTTTAAATTGTCGTCATAATTTAACCAAGAAAGTAACATTTTGGCCGATTTATTCCCCATTCCAGTCGATTTATCTATATGTTCTTTCTTTTGCCGAAAGGCCACAATTGGAAGGAATCATGTGTCAAGTCTTCTTTTTCTCAGCATTTCCACTTCGAATCCGGTTCAAGTCTCAGAAAGCCTTTTAATTGAACAATGACAACTATGAAGGTTTAAAATCAAGATTTAATTGCCAAAATTTTCAGTGTTATTTTGAATTGCTAAAAAAGTTCTCATATTACTTTTATTAGTATAAATTCTTTTACGCCTCGTTTGGTTGGTAAAATTAACCATGATTTATTAAATAATTGGACTTTATTGGAAGTTTGATTAGTGCAAAAAAGTTTCGGATTGGCCCGCAATTGTGGATAAATGGCTCTATTTTTGGCTTATCAAGAGATTATTTGTTGGACGTCTAATGGTCTAATAATACAATTATTTTTTTTATAAAATTATTTAATCTTATATTAGCTATTATTATCTAAAGAACCAAACGAGGCCTTAGGAATTAGGATACAATTTGGGATGAAATAATTTAGAGGTGAAATTTCATATACATACTAACAAATTTATTGAGTTTTGTTTGGATGGAATTCGTCATTTCACAAAGAATTTCAAATATATATATATATATATATATATATATATATATATATATAACTTTCATGTTTAGCTGTTTTTTGAGGAATTGTGGTGGATTTTAAATATTTTTAAAATATGCATGAAATTTGCTATATTAATTAAGTACATGAGTATTTAACAAGGGTAAAGGTGTAATTTAGTTCAACAATCCAACAAAGTAAACTATCATTAAGTACTTCATTCATACATAAATATTCACATAACACATAAAACTACAAGTCTTGTCACTTGGTAAGAGGAATAACTATATGATCACCACTAAAAAAATTGGGATATATTCACCCAAATTTCATGTGGTGTTACAAATATTTTTGATTTCACACACATACACACAAATACACACACCGCGCATATTGTACCGTATTTCAGAAATATGATAATTAGATTTATTATGAAAAAACTAGCAAATATTTAATGGGTGGGAATTATTCTTAGACCTAGATGCTTTTCGGCGAACTCCATAAGGTTACTAATCTCGTGGTCATCGATGGTTCCATTGAAATTCTTGTCGGCTAATTTGACACCGCGTTTGGCCTTTGATTTGCTGAACCACCCTCCGTTGGCCCTGACCGCCCGCCGGAGCTCCTCCACGCTTATCCGGCCATCTTTGTCGGTGTCAAATTTCTTCAGCCATAGTTTGAATTCTTCGACGGAGATCTCGATTTTACCGTCGGTAGGTGCACGGTGGCGGCTAGTTGTTATGGCCATTATTTGGTGTGTGATATGTATATTTTTTTTTGTTGTTGTGGAGATGTGTAAGAAATATTAATGGGTATGGGGCTTTATTTATAGTGTTTTTGGGTTTATTGCCAACCTTAGCTTTTTTTTTCTTTTCTTTTCTTTTTTAGAATCGGAATCTAATTATTAAAAGTAGTCACGAGGGCAAATGTTTAGTTTACTCTAACACGAATCATATCTTTTAGGGTAAAATTCATTTTGCACCCCTGTACTATGATAAATATATCGTTTACCCCCCTGAAGTATTGAAAACATCAAATACCCCCCTGCCGTTAGTTTTTTTCTTCTAATTTCGTTAGTCAAACCCTTTGACCGACTATTGCAAAGAAATGTTGGCTTTTTTTTAACGAAAATACCCCACAAAAATTTCTAATATATAGATTTCAGGGCTTTTAGTTTACATTTTTTGTGG